TTAAAGTTCTAGGCAATCTCCTCCTTTTTCAACTTCTGCTCCAATTTTTTTTCCTCTCCCTTCCCACTTACAACAACAATTTTCTTTTAAGTGTTCAGAAATCCATACCTCCAATAAGGGTTTTCCGATTTCTTAAGTTATTAAATCCAATGTCCAGGAATCCTTTATCCCTTGGCTTTAACTTTCAAAATAATTTACCTTCAGTGCCCAAATAAATTTTCCAAATCTTCGTCTGCTGTTTCTATGGGGTGGGAGAGTGAAGAAAAAAAACGTTTTTTCCCCTTGACAGCTTTCTCCGCCACTTTCCGATCTTCTTAGGGATACAATGTATCTTCCAGCAATTCAAACGATTCAGTTTCCAGGGTGTTTAAAAGTTGTTGATTGACCCGGCTCAGCCAGCACTTTCACTTTTCCTGCTTCCTCCAGCACAATCTTACCTGGCTGCAGGCTTCTTTGTGGTGGCCATTACTGACCGCCGCTCCACCACCTCGGGAAAAAGGGGTTTTTCCGGACGAGGAGGGGGTCTGCGACACCCCCAACCCCCTGTCCGGCTCCCCTCTCTCTTCGGCTGCCTCTACAGGGCAGCCATATCCCCCTGACCCATTTGGATCGGGGGCACCTTGGCGACAAGCGCAACAGGAATCGCGGACAGTCGCGAATTCCTGCTGCCACTGAAGCCACGCGAAACCGCCTGATTCATCCTTATTTTTTCATCCTTATCCCCACCAATAGTAAAATCTATTCCAAATTATATTCTGATTCATCCTTATTTTTCATCTCTATTGTTAACCTATCCATTTCAGCACAAATCAAAATTTTATTTATTACTTCATCTTCACTAGGCATTTCTTTCTCTTTCCACTTCTGGAAAAATACCATTCTTGCTGCAGTGATGACGTGTATTATCAAATATAACTCTTCCTTCTTATATTTTTTGGTATAATTTCCAATAAGAAATATTCTGGTCTATGGTCTATTTTAAATCCTATCATTTCTTCCAACCACTTCCCAATCCCGTGCCAAAACTCTTGTGCTTTTTTATAGTTTCACCATGCATGATAGTATGTGCCTTGTTCTGTCAAACATTTCCAACATTTTGGGGATTGATTTTTATACATCTTAGCCAGCCTAGCTGCCAGGAGGTGCCATCGGTAAAACATTTTAAATAAATTCTCCTTATATATTGTGGCAAGCATAATATTTTTGTTCCTCTCCCATAATATTTGCCATTGATCTAATTTTATATTATATCCAAAATCTCTAGCCCATGCCACCATTGTCTCTTTTTTTATCTGTTCTTCCAATTTATATGCCAATAAAAATTTATAGGTTTTCCTTATTAACTTATCGTCTTGCCCCAAGAGAATTTTGTCTAATGCTGTTTCTTGCCCATTAATGTGAAAGGCCAGCTTTCAAAATAATAGTACAGTTCTGAGCCCATGTAATCCATACCCACTTGCACTACTGAAGTGATACAGTACAGAGTTTACAAAGATTGAATTCTTTCTTTGTGTTTGCCTGTTCTAGATTCCCCAGCTGGCCTGGACCTCAGCCGTTGTCAAGAACAGACAGAACATGCAGGTTTGGGTCAATAAACTCTCCTCATTTCCTTCCTTAAGAAAGCTTCTTACCTGCTTGCGACAGGGCCCTTTTGGGTAATGGTACAGACCTTCCCTGTGGGAAGCTTTATACATATGCATATGCATATGCATACACACACACACACACACACAGAGAGAGAGACATAGACATAGACACACACATACACATGCATACACACACACATTATATATATGTTTTATATATACAGTATATAAAGCAATGTATTTATTTATCTTCCTACCTTACCACTTACTACTAAGTCTATGTTATATTATTCAATACTCAAAGTAAAGTAAAGGTAAAGGTTCCCCTCGCACATATATGCTAATCATTCCCGACTCTAGGGTGGGGTGCTCATCTCCGTTTCAAAGCTGAAGAGCCAGTGCTGTCCAAAGACATCTCCGTGGCTGGCATGACTAAATGCCAAAGGTGCAGGTGCTACCAAAGTGGTCCCTATTGTTCTACCTGCATTTTTAATGCGCTTTCAAAATGCTAGGTTGGCAGAAGCTGGGACAAGTAACGGGAGCTTACCCCATTACGCGGCACTAGGGATTCAAACTGCTGAACTGCCATTTTCAATCAACAAGCTCAGCATCTTAGCCACTGAGCCACCACGTCCCTTCTGAGCCACCGCATCTCATTCATTCTTTCATTTAATACTCAAACTACCCAGTACCTAAAGAATAGCCTAAATGTCTCAAACCTCATTAAAATTCCTGCTACAGTGATTCATCATCTTCCTCATCATTTATCTTTGTCTTCTTTTCATTAAAACTGTACCAGGTTTACGGGACATTTTGAATGAAGGGGGTCCTAACACATACCATGAAACAGAAAACATACAGAACAGTGAAGATGAGAAAGAATATAATTCAACTAATGGAAGAGACAGAGAAGGTAAAGTAGAAGTTGTACAACTAAAATTTATAATTTGGTAAACAGATTATGACATAAATATATGTACTTTAACTAAATAAATGAAGTACCAGAATTCTATTTTTTATACAGGTAGTCCTTAACTTACAACCACAACTGAGCCCATCATTTCTGTTGCTCAGTGAAACATTTGTTAAGTGACATTTGCCTCATTTTACAACTTTTCTTTTCATATTTGTTAAGTGAATTACTGCAGTTGATAAGTTAGTAACATGGTTAAATGAATCTGGCTTCCCGTTGATTTTGTTAGCAAAAGAGGATCATGTGACCTTCAGACATGGCAATACTCATAAGTATGAGTCAGTTGCCAAGCATTTGAAGTTTGATCAGGTGATCATGGGGATGCTACCAAGGTCATAAGTGTGAAAAATTGTTCTAAGTCACTTTTTTCAGTGCCATTGTAACTTTTTTATGGCCACTAAATGAACTGCTGTAAGTTGAGGACTACCTGTAACAGCATCATCATGAAGACATCAATATAGCAATGTCTTCCATAATCCGAACGGGTCTGCTGGGCAGACACATAGAACAATGTTTGTGGGAAATTGGGGGTGGGGGTGAGGATTAAAAACAGACTGTGAAGTAACAGACACAGGATGAAGATTGGTTGATGGGAGGCAGGAAGTACATGGTGGCAAAAGCAGAAGATGGTAAAATCTTGACTCCTGGGTTACAATCTAACTTGTTCTTGCAAAATTGCCATTAACTGGAGCTTTAGATTGAAATTGGTAGTGATAGCCTGAATCTTAACAGAGAAAAAACAACCCTCTCCAGGTAAAAAAAGCTACAAGTTTGGACGGATTCAGAGTGCAAACCAACTCATTTTTTTTTCACCAAGAGAATTTAGCTCGGAAACGTTGTCTTTATCTTTTGTAGAGTTAGCAGAACAGTAACTGTCTATGCATCAAAAAAAGTGATAAGCAACAAGGCAGATAAAAAGGAAAAGGTCGTGAACTTCCTCTTTATTTCCCTGCACTGCAGAGACATCAAAGTTTAAGCCAAAAAAAAAGGGAGGGGAGGGAGGGAGGGAGGGAGAAGGACCAATTTTATGTGTTTAATATATTCTATTTTGCACACTTCACACTGAAGAGAAGTAGCCTATTAAAACAAAAAGAAGAAGACAGCCAGGTTTGAACTTATCATGTTTCTGGCACAGCCACTGCTTTTTCCAGAGAAGATAAATTCCTGGCTATTATTATTGGAATTTCTCCCTTTCCCATTATAACCACTTAAACACCACTTAAAGGTCTCTAAGTCACTCTAACATTTCTCTGTTCCACTGCTAACTGCTGTTGTGTGTTTGTATAACATATGAAATATCATGGCTTACAATGTGTTATATAGCATTAAATGGCAATATCTGGGTTCTTACAATACGTCGAAGCACACACTACCGAAGCTCATTGTTGTCTTGCTTAGCATGTTGTGTGAACCAAGGGGATCATTTTCAAATATGTATTTTTTCAATTGCCACTAATGGTCTCTCCCCCATTACAACCATATTTATTTTATTTACTTTTCAACTTAATCAAAACTGATTCTGGAGGTCCCAACATCCAAATTCCCTTCCCCTCTAGTCCTTTGTATCCTGGCCAGCCAAACTTCAAGAATTTAGTAAGACTAGCAAAAATATGTCATTTTTTTTCCAAAGATGATATATTTTTGCTACTTTTCCTAGACTCTTGAAGTCTAGGTTTTCACATCAGTCCTAAGTTTTCCATATCAGCATTGTTCATAGCCATTCCTTTGAGCAACCAACAGATTTAAGCTTAATTTTGTGCTGCTAATTCAAGATTAAAAATTTTGGTCAGAGTCTTCTGAAACCTCCTTAGCAGTGCATAAGGTGAAGAATGAAAAATAAAAACAAAACAGGTCATTGCTATTCACCAACAGGTCAACAAATTGGTCATTGCTATTGTTGGCACTGATCAATACAGATTTTCAACAAGGCCATTTCTAGCATGTGCCCATTCCGATAAAATGCTGTCCTTAGAAAAGTGCTGTCCATCCAGCTGGAGTAAGAGATTTTGTTTTGTCTTTCTCAAGCAAATAAATATCCTACATGCACAATCCTCTTTGAGTTTGCACCATGATCACACTACATTCAAAATAACAGAATAACAGAGTTGGAAGGGACCTTAGATGTCTACTATTCCAACCTCTGCTCAAGCAGGAAGCCCTGTAGCAGTTCAGACAAATTGTTGTCTAATCTCTTCTTAAAATGTCTTAATCATTTGCACAGAAGTTGCAACTGAGAATCTTGAATGCAAATCCTCCTCATATTCACATCTGCTTGTACAAATAGACTGCATTTGTACCTACTGCCTGTCAGAGAAATAAGGACAGCTCCATGTTTGTGTGAACCCCACTCCAGAAGTAAGAGATTCATGGGGATATCTTGCCTGTGCATAGAAATACATTTCTTTCTCCAATATTACTACACACTTGCTCCCCCTAGTAATAAGTGACATTGAAACTTCTAGCTTCTCGGCCTTTTGGTTAAGATCAAGCATAGTATCTGTTCCTATCAGTGACATTGAAACCATGCCAAAGTTTGTGTCAAGGAGTATTGCAAGCATTATTTCATATTATATAGGACTCCTACAGGTCTTTGAAGGTAGCATGGCGATAAGATAAAGAAAGCCTGAGCATGTGAAATGGCTTTTGTTTTAAAAGAAAAAAAAGAATAGAGAAAGCTATGTGGAAGAGACAAACAACAATGGGCACAGAAGTCACTTATTCTCATAAAGAAAAATGAAGAAGACAATTTTTGTGTCTTCATTAAAAATGGTCCAAATACCTCTGTGGACGTTTCAAACAACTTCTTTAAAGATATGCCTTTTCTACATGGGAATTTGAAATCATCTATTTGGTGCATGCAAAAAAGGAAAAAATAAGTGCAGCATAAGTGTTCCTACTTCAGGCTTTTAAATTAACTGGTGTGGTGATAGTGGTGTTTTATGGGCAGGAAAGAGGAGCAAAGAAGGTGGGAAAATAAGCCCAAAATACATTTAGGCTTGTAGCTGAGGTTCCAGCCACCCTTGCCTTAGAAGACGTGTGGTTGTGCTAGGAAAGGAAATGCCGTGTTTTTCTAGTCAGAAAATTAGATCTGGTGTACCGTCCTGTTGAGATAGAAAGTGGGGTGCAGCTGAAAAAAATTAATAAAATGTATTTTTTAAAAAAATGAAAGTAGGGTATAAATATGGGGTGATGTAGCAAATTCAACTGATATTTTTCTGCAGAGTTTCAATCAAGCAATTATAGAAATTATAGAAAGGATTAAAAACTTCAAAAAAAATCATGGAACCTGATTCACTACAGTGGCATGGCCTTCCTTTGATTGTGGCCATGATTTGAAACTCATAGTCAGGTTTTATCATTTCTTTTTTAAAATTTTAGTAAAATATAATTCTATACCTAAGAAATCAAAGGATGTGAAGTGTTTCTTCTTTCAATATACATAATACTTAACACAAGCCTTGGTGCACCCTAAAGGCAAGTCTTCCTTTCTAAAGATATTTAATTGTTAAGCATATATGTTTAGCCATAGGAGAGGAAAAGAAAGAGATAGACACAGAGCCAGGGATAACATACAAAGATACATACAGAGAGCAGCATGCATACATGAACAAACATGGTGCAAAAATCATATATATGAGCACCTAACTACTGTATATGATTTTGCACAGCTGTCCTTGTATAAGTAGATTACAGGTAGTCTTCATTTAATGAAGACTAAACTAAGCCACTAAGTGTCTGAGCTGAAATTCTACAATCCCCAAACCCCCTTCACTATTCCAGAATTTGTTATGAAACTAGTTTATCTAGAATGGGCTCTTTAAAAAAGAAAAATAACAACACCAACCACCATCAATGTAATATTTATTATGCTTTATAAAGTTGCTTCAAATACCTGGATGGAAGCTCCAGTATTTAAAAATCTTAATAGTTTTCCATGTCTTTGTTTCATAAAAATGGCCCTTCCCTTCCCTTCCCTTTTTAGAGGTGAACCAATTTGCACTCTGCATTCATGCTTGGTAGGGAATTCAGAAAGTTTTGTGCTATTTTTAGCTTGTGAAATTTCCACCAGGTGTTTACTGTCTGTTTGAGTTCATTGAGGCATCACCCTAAAACTGAATTATTTAAATGAAAAACAAGACAAGTTCAAAACTAATCCCTCCCTTACCCCAGCATTTCAGTGGACTGAAAAGAAGAGCACCCCCACCCCCAAAAAAAACAAAACCAAAAATCCACAGTTAGATCCACAAGGCCTATGTAAATCTCTCTCATGAAATTAAAAACAATATTTCTGCAATTTCTTCCCCCTCACTTCAGTGAGGTTTGGAATGATAGATATTAAAAGTGGAATGGTGTAAAAGAAATCATGGATAAATGGCTCCTCCTTCCTGTGAACTATCCAGAGAAGCTAAACTGCACGTTACCCTCCTAAGCTAACAAGTTTCAAAGTTAGCTTTTATGTCTATAAATTCTTCAGACAAACAAGATACTGAGATCAACATCAATATTCTTTCTCCATTCTTTTGTTATCAATTTTTCTCTATGATAAATGCTTACATTCTTCAAGTGTCTCAGATGTTGATAGACATTTTCCATCATTACCATTCATCTTTTAAAATAGATTTTGTGATAAGAGATGAACTTTTCTAATTCAGGTTTTTTTTTTTTTTGGCTTGCTTTGAAGGATCAGGTCTAGTGCCTAATTTTAGGTCAGGATAGAGTCCAGTCACATAGACATTTGACCCTGTGATAGACTGCATATGGCTTCATTTCTTCCTTTGTTTATATACAGAGCAAAATCCAGCCATTATTGGATTGTGTAATTATACAATTTAAGACCATTTTTTGTGTCTATAATGCAGGGTGGGAAAGCCTTTGTAGTAGCAATTTGGTGAAATATTTTATATCTGCAAAAAAGTATGAAGAATGAAGGATGCATTGCA